CCCTCCATCTCAGGGATTCGACCCCCTGTCAACCCAAAGGGTCCCCATTTTGTACTATTTTGAGATATCCGTTTTTGGTGACGGACACAAAATTTATTCTAAAGGCGCCTCTGGCGCCAATATATACTGATTTTGAGGGGGGAGCGCGCGACAAAAAAAACGCAATTTGTTGGTAAAAATGTGCGCCTTTTTTGGCCTGTTTTTTGAAAATTTTGCCTGCGGCGCAGAAATTTCGGTCAAAACAGCGTCTTTTCAGTGCATCGAGAGAGCTCAGAAAATCAATTTGGTCGACCTAAAAAAGGTCGAGAAAATTTTCAATTTTTTTTTGAAATCCGAACCACACCCCCCCCCCCTCGAGAAAATCCTAGATCCGCCCCTGATACCAAGTGCTTTTTTCAAACTAATCAGAGCCAGTCTTAGTGTTGTTTTTCACAATTGATTATTTGCTAGTCAAAATAATGAAGGCGTTGACATGAAACTTGGAGTTAAAATAACTTGTCTTTCGTTTCATGAAAAAATAAATATCTTTCACTTTTCATTTCAGTCAGTTTGGTCTGTCAAATTACCACCAGAAGATCGTTTTTCTTGGCTTCGGTTCATCGTTTTCGTCGCTAAATTCTCCAACTTCAACTTCTATTTTCTTGTCGTTGCTGTTGTTTTTCTTTGTGTTCCTGTAGGGACACTGTCCGAAATTGTCTGTCCTCACGAATCTCCCACTGAAGTCGGACCCCTTGAACTCCAAGGCTCTCTGGATGAAATCTAGCAGAGCATTCTGCATGGTCGGCCTACGCGCTGAAAACCAACAAAACTTTATCCTGAATGTTCCATTTTTTTTCCAAAATTACAATCAAACTGGAAAACTTTAAGTTTGCAATGACTATTGACAAAAAATGATAGACAACAGTAGAAATCTTAGCACTAAATCAGTGTCGATTTTCGAAAATTATATATCGCAGTGGAAGCGAAGCGGGGGGGGGGGGGGAGATTTGAGCCACCTGTACCCTAGAAGCATTCCATTTCAAAACTCTTTGACTTCTTGGTATTGTATGTTTGAGTACACTCGTTTTGGAAGCACTATCGGAAAATTAACAGGCAAAATTTAAAAAAAAAACAATTTTCAGTTCCATCTCAACAAGGAGAACATTTATGGAGAGGAAATAGAAACTAACAGAGAACTTGGACTCTCTCGACTCCTCCCGCCGCACACTCGTGCAACACCGCATAGTCCTCGTAGTTAGTGGCGACCACGTTCATGCCCTCATAGGATGAAGGGTACAAATATGAAGCGTAGAGTCGCAGCACCCCAGATGTGTCGTATTTGGGGGTCAGGATGTCCACTGCGCAGTCAAGCACCCCCTCCGCGTTGACGAAGACAGACTCCCGTTTCATGTTTTGCGGAGCCGTTAAGCCCACAGGCATGTACCCTACAATCAGGTGAGTCAACGATATCCAATAAAAATCACATGAATTTTCAAAAAACATGGTTGCTAGGAAAACCAAAACTTTTTTTAGATGCATTTCGTTTGCAATAGGAGTTATGTGATGTGTGTGGGGCTGAGAAGGCACGAGCAACATTTTTTTAACCAAGGGAGGATACTTTAAATAACTTTTAAAAAACGCTTCGCCAGAACCAACACGCATTTCACTGCATGAGGAGAAAAATCAACGAAAGTGTTTTTTTTTTGGGTCGCTCAACCGGAAATTAAACAAAAATTATTGAGCGTGCGCTTTAGTTTTTTTTTTTGCTTCAAATTGGAAAAACTATTAGCCAGGCATCGAGCATGAAAAATGGCCTCCCGAGACTGCTGTAAATTTATTTAGCTATTTAACTGTATTGTAACCTCAGAGACGAGTTTTTTTTATTAATTATTATCAGTTTGATAATTTGATAAAAATTATCTTGTTCAGGAGTTTGCTCATTAACAAAAAAGGAGTTTTCAGCTTTTTGAAACTACTCACAGTTCCCTTCGCCGTTCTTGAACTCGGAGTACATGCAAGACTTCGTCTCTAACCGATTATCCGCCAAGTTTTCCCTATAGTGTCCGATTTCATACCATCCCCCGGAGAGAAACTTCTCCTTATCGAAGTTCTCCATCACTTCTATCACTGGACATTCGTAGAAGTTCATGCTCACTTCGTCCATTACGTCCTCGCGGAAGGCCATACATGCAGTGGCCATACACAGAAACAGAAGCCTTTTCATATTTGTGCCAAGATCTGTGTCGTTTTAATTTCAGCTGAAAAGGACTTGATAACTTACATTGTTTACGCTGCATTTGTTCAAAAATTACTAAAAACTCGCAATCACAAACCATCAAAAAGCCACAGTAATACTTGAGTTCAGGGGAAGCATGTTATAAAGCTCATAGGTTTTCACATTTCCGCTATCAAGTTTTAGCCGAAAAAAAATATTTGGTTCATAATTTTATCAAGTCACATTTATAACTTCAAAATATGTTTTGTCTTACCTTGATTATATAACTCTTAATTCTTAAAAGTCAACTTTACTTAATTGTTTGGAAGAACACAACTCTATAATTCTAAAAGTCAAACTAATAATCACCATAAGGTTATTCGAAACTTCCAAAGTTTGTTAATGTCATAATTAAATCAAAATATATTTGTTCACTGAGTGAAATTTGTCCAAGGATATCTTAGAAACTTGAAGATTGCAGTTTCATTGAAGGTTAAGCTGAAAAAGTAAATTTATTGAGGACAATCAATTTTTACCATTAAAGAATTCGAGCTACAACAATTAACAACAAGTAAAGATCTAGAATGTTCGCTTATCCACTGAAATTGGAGGATAGTTCTTCAAGGGCGTTTTTCGATATCTTTAGGTGGAGCTCTTAGTATTTTTTTCATCTCTCCTAAAAACAATAAAAACCAAAGCTGAAACTATTCTCAAAAAAAAAGTTCGGCTCTTTTTCTATACCCCCACCTTACGTGAACATTAAATTTATGGTGTAACGAGGGGTTTTAGAAGGTTAAGTATGAAGACCAAATAAAAATAAATATTCAGCTTCAAGGAAAAACTTTGTGTTATCAGATTACAATTCTATTGATCCAGATGAAAATCAACAAAATTGTCTCAGAGTCGAGAGAAACTGATCCGATGTTTTTTTTCTGACTAAATTAGACTTGACCTCCCAAAAAAAAGTTTGAACCCGAGCTCCCTAAGAAAACATTTTGAAAATTTTAGAATGATTACTTTTTAGACAGGTATTTTTTTGGATTATTTCTTAAATCATGTTGGTCCGATTCGGATTCTTTTGTGCTACTTGGGTAGTAATTGGTTCTCCTTATGTAAAATTATTTTGAGGAAACTCAGGGTAATAAATTTGTTAATATGTAATTTTGTGGTAACTTAATTGAAAAAGCAATGCAAATCTCCGATCCAGGCCATAGTTCACTCCAACTTCGCAAAACGAAACAGACATTTATGATTTCTTGACAGTCAACCTAATTTATTGAAGCAGTCAATAACAACCAGCATTGTATCACTTACTTTTATCACAGTTTTGCATGTCTTTTTCTTTTGGTTGTATCATAGATTTCATAGCGTTCGCAGACTTATCCCTCAGTTTTTAAAAGCAACAGACCATAATGACAAAAAATCAAAAATGCCTCTGAAAAATTTATGTGCTATGACGAAACAGTTCAAGGTAATCTGGGAGAACAAAAACAACAAAATGAAGTTGTCTTTAGGGAGCAACAGTTTTGACAAATTTTAACCTCGGCCACTGTTGAGCATAAAACAAACACGTTGACGAAAAATAGTCTTGGCAGCGGTTCCACTTGGACCCTCCATTCTCAAACTAATCATAAAAATGAGAGCTCAGCCCCTGAGTTCAAACATCTTTAAGCCCTCTGAACATCTTCTACTTATATATATACATTTTACAAAATTTAAAGTTTATAAATTTACCGCGTACTTTTTGTGTGTTCTAAACTACTAAAAAGTCAATTTAGTTTGAAAAAATCCACGTAAAAATAACTTAGTCAGATGAAAATTTTTATGCAAAAAATCGCGTGATAGATTAGATGCGACGTGATTTACTATCATGATATTATGAAAAGTTGTCGAATGTGATATTTTATTGTCAACATTCTAACCTCTAAGTTATATTCAGTTATGACCTATGGCCATGCCAATTTAAAATACCTGCCAAAAGCGCAACGGCTTTTGGTAGATCTAGAGATTGTTCATTGTCAATTTTGATACGCAACTAATCTTGTGCAACTAACTCTTAATTCAATCTTTTTACTAACTCTTAACTTATCTTGTTACCTTAGTCTTTTATTTAGTCTTAGATAAAAGCCTACAACTAAATTGTAGGAATCTTAAACCAAACAGTCTTAAACTAGTCTTAGTTTAAGTTTAACCAATTTTAACCAATAGACGGTATTAGAACTGTCCAGCAGAAGTCTTATCAGATGATAATGCCAGCGATCTAGTCTCGCTAAAAGAGCTAAAGACTAAAACCTTAACCGATCTAGAAAAGTCAACAGAACATCCAGCATAAGACCGAGCAGACCTTAAAGCCGAAATCACGAACCAGACTGAACCGAAAGTAGAAAAGGCAGAGATTCCGTTGATTGACCTCGACTCAGGCGATAATAGCACAGCCTCACACCTAACCCCGCCGCTAATCTTCCTGGACAGTCACGAAGAATCAGAGTTGCCAATTTCTCCGGAAAATCTTGGAACAGAATCAATCGAAAAGATTGCCGAGCCGGTTATAATGGCGGAAACGGAGAAACAGCAATTAAACCCTGCCTCTACCAAAACAAAAGCTAAATTGTCTGACACAGTTAAGAGAAAGGCCTCATCACCGGTGAAATCACCACCTTCCAAAAAACTGCTCGATAATTATGCACGGCACAGCACCAGACCCCTGCGAGCTAGACAGCCTCCAAGGATGCTGGGAGAGAGAGTGTTTACCAGCGTAGTAGACATATCGGACGATAAGCTAGATGAACCAACATTTCATCGAATTCTCATCCCCCCCCCATATTACCCAACGATTGAGGCGATTTCTATCAAAATGGAGAGCCACCAAATTGACTTGGTAGATCTAACAACCTTGACATCACTTTTGACATCGTACCCTACGACAGCTTACTTATTAGAAGAAATCTTTGAGCCTTCGAGTGGTATAAAGTCTCCCATAACACCCAAACAAAGTACACCACACAAGAAGGTTAAATTCAGCCCTGAGATTTGTACTACCCAATTTCACCCATCGGGCCTACCCTCCGAAGCAACTGAGTCAACATCTACGCCAATTGTACTCGATCCAGACTGGCTAAACACCCCCTCTATCATTTCGGCGATAGAACTCCTAGGACGGCCAATGACGCTTGACGAACCGAGGAGATGGACAATCAATCGAGCCGCAAACCGGGACGCATTTTAGACCTTAATGAGGATTAGTATCCTGGCACATTAAAACTCAAACTTTCGGAAATCTTCCATTCAGTAACTCTCTTCAAACTTAGTACTTTTTTCTGATGCGATTTTGCTTAACATTATGACGCAATTATAGTTGAAAAGATAACCCTAGTGCTGGCCTAATACGCTACAGTTTGGACTATCTCCGAGTCGCTTTAATTTTTAACTTGAGTCATTTAACAATACATTTATTTACTGCCAAATCATTATCTCACCCATCGGGTGCTACCGTGGGATAAGATTTACGATCAAACCATTCAGGTGCTATCATCTTGCCCACTGGGCCCTAATGTGGGGCTTTTCCGACCAGTGTACCCGCTTATCCATTTCTGAGCCAGAACACTCCTTTTGTGTGGCGAAAGTATATGCTATAGTTAAATTTTCGCGGGGAATGTCAAATGTGACATTTTATTGTCAACATTCTAACCTCTAAGTTATGTTCAGTTATGACCTAAAACCATGCCAATTTAAAATACCTGCCAAAAGCGCAACGGTTTTTGGTAGATCTTGAGATTGTTCATTGTCAATTTTGATACGCAACTAATCTTGTGCAACTAACTCTTAATTCAACCTTTTTACTAACTCTTAACTTATCTTGTTACCTTAGTCTTTTATTTAGTCTTAGATAAAAGCCTACAACTAAATTGTAGGAACCTTAAGCCAAACAGTCTAAAACTAGTCTTAGTTTAAGTTTAACCAATTTAACCAATAGACTGTTTTACCTTAAATTTTTAACAAACGTTATATAATCCGAATTATTGAGATCAATAGAAATACTAACTTGAATTATTGTAGGGAGTTGATTATTGCAGAAAACGTCTTCCCTGTCTTACAAGCACGTTTCTCTATTAGAACAAAACCACTCGTCCTGAAATCTCAAAAAAATCATCAGGAGAGATCCAAAAGCTGGTGACAGGAATCGGGTTACATGGTGACAGCGACGGGGCGTCCCTGACGCCTGATTGCCGCATCCAGCGCAGGGCCTGCCTTGGAGTCTTAAGCCGTTGGACATTCAATCAACGCCATTCCCATTGATGATAAAACTTTTGGCCTGTTTAATCAGAGTTAACGTGCCGGCAACACGGAAGCAACAAGATTAGAACAAGATCGAGTTGAAACTAGAGCAAAATGTGTGCAAAACCCCATATCGTTTGTGGCAGAATTTCAAAGGCAATGCCTTTTAGTTTTCAACGAAAGTGGAAAAGACAAAAAGGAGCGAAGAAAGACATTCGATTGCTGCACTATGAACTGTCACGCCATGATTTCACATTTTGTTATCTAAATTTACCTACGCTTATTGATAGATCAGTAACTTGGTGAGCAACCACCAAGACCGGTGGCCAGCATATTATATATTATATTTACTCTGAAACTGGCGTTTTGAACAGAAAGAGTTCAGAGCAAAAAGTTTGGTTAAACATTAATTACAGGAAGCCTCAATTGAAAGTGAAAATGAATTAATTTATATAACAAAAATTCACGTGCGTATTCATTCCTCGCCATCTATAGGATTCCTATAGATGGTGAGATATGAACACGCCAGTGAATCTTTGTTAATATCATAAATTCTTAATATAATGTTGATATGCATACTTGGACTGTCATGCATGTTCTATTGATTTCCTATAAAAGAAAATCAATATGACAGTCCAAGTACGCATATTAACATTCAAGTAAGATTTTTATCTGTGGAAGAATTTGAATAGCACACACAAACTTCTTGATTTTTTTGAAACTATTGAAACTATGGAAAAGTGCTACTTATTCGAAGTTATACATTTATATCAGTGTCAATGCTTCAGAAAATTTTAGTAATATTGCTATAAGGGGGCCTTAAACTAAAATGCAAAAGAATTAAATTTGTCACGAAAAAAAGATACACGTTTTTAGTTGCATTATTTGCTAAAATTGAACTGTGGAAAAATTTAGTCACTGGAAATTCAAGTTGCAGGTTTTTTTTTGGTTTCAACGAGCATCTTAGCAAGCAACATAAAGAATTTGCAATTATATGCTTAAAATGGTTCTTTGGGAAGCTGATGAGCTTGATTTACTCTTGTAGTCTGGATAAATTTGATAGGTCCTCTATAAAATGCAGAAATCAAAACTAACAATTTTGATCGTCCGGGACCAACACTAGGGCCAGAAACCATTAATACACCAAGGAAAATCAAAAAATTTTAGCAATCGCTCTGAAATTATAAATCGCTTTGAAATTATAGACTTATATTGGTTCTTTGGGAAGCTGATGAGCTTGATTTAGTCTTTACTCCGCCGAAAAACGACAAACAAAAAACTGAAAGATACTTGGTCCAGCGTCAAAAACACACTCAAGCACACACGCGCACACTCACACATTGAACTTTTTTATTTATTCACTGCATAAAAATTAATCCAAAGTACTTAACTAGTATTGTGTAGAGCTCCTTAAATTTTTTGTTGCACAAGATCGTTTTTACTTCAATCAAAATATCTAGGTTCTTAGATTAAGACGCTTGTCCAAACAAATAATCTCATGCCATTTTACTCCTTATGACTTTTTGCTGTAATTTATTATTCCGAGTCGCCTCATAACTGCCCCAGATGATATGATGAACATTTGATATCACTTTCTTGTCTGTTTCGCAGAACTACAGTGCCATGCACAACAATTGCACTTGAACATGTTTGCAAAGAACAGTAGTCGATGCGGGCACTTCAAAGTGGTCAGTGGGTTTTATTTTGACCCAAAATGGTCAGTGGGTTTTATTTTGGTTTTAAACCCAAAATTGCGCTAAAAAACTCCAAAAACTACCTTTACCTGAGTAAAACTAAGTTTTCACGGCTTAAATTAAGCTATTTCAATTACTAACTAGCTGACTAATTAGCTCGAAATTAGACCAAAAATCAAAATTTCAAACCTATTTTGAAATTTTTAATGACGTTCGAATTACGACTTCTTCGAAATTTTTTAATGCCGTTCGAATTACGACTGAAAGGTCTCTAATATCTGTCCGATGATTATTTGTGGTAGCTGATTTTGCATGAAAAAAACTAAAACACACCCGAATCCAAAGTTCCTCCCCATTTTTAATGGTCGGAACAAAAAAAAGATTCATTGAAAAAAATGTTGCTTAAATTGTTTTTCAGGTCAAAGAAACTGCAAAATTAAAATCTACAAACATCAAAAAATTTCCTAATAAGAACAAAATATAGGCAACTAAACACAAGTTTATGCCAGTTACCTTTCATCCAGTTAACTGAAAGGCTTCCATGAAATCTTTTTATAAATGTGACTCAAGATACACCGTCGCCATGTTTTAAATTAACTCCTTCCTCGATAGCACGTTTTTTCACATTTATACAAAATCAATAGATTGTAAAAGAGAAAGCAACATGGAAACTAGTATGTAAAATTATAAAAATCCCGCCGGCGAGGATTTGGAACAAATCGAAGATAATAAACTGATTTGTTGCCAAATGGTATACATTGATCTTCCTTTATACATTGATCTTCCTCAGCGAATACATTTAAAGAAAGCTTGAACATCAATATACGAATATTAGTAGAGAAAGCAAAAACTGCATAACTTAGTCTGAATTATCTTACTTCATTTATTTATTCATCATGAGTAATCAAACTTTCGATAACAAATTTTGCTAAAAGCAGCTCTTGCCGGACTGAATTTTGTAAGTCGATAAAAATTAACCCCCATCTCAGCCGACGTGAAATTGAGCCGAAACCTTACAACCTGAACATAGTCTAAAAGTATTCGTAAAATGATTACCGAAAACAAAAAAACGTCACTTGATTTTTTGATTTACAACTGGTTTCAATAGAATTACTGATAGTTAAAGCAATGGCGAATATTTATCACTCAAAATATTAAGCAGACTCAGTTGAACAAATTGATTTTTTTTTTCAAACAATTCCATGTTTGAGTTCTTTCACAATTGCTTTGAGTTCTTGTTTGAGTTTTAAACATTGAGTTCCATGCTTGAACTTCCATGTTTGAGTTTTAAACAATTGCTTTAAGTTCTTTTTATCTTCACTATATTAACTGTTACAATTCATTTAAAATTACTCAATATCTATGTTTTCACGTCTTCGGCAAAAAATTATGCTTACCAGTTTGGGAGAAATTAATTAACAGTTTAATGATTGACTGTTCAATATCATTTAGATTAAATCTGTCAAAAATTCATTTGATAGTATATTTCATTCTTATTAATTTTTAAAAAATTCATTTTATAATCATAGCAAATCATACGAATTAAATCTTAACTAGTTTGCAATTTTTTGGTTTCTTCTCTCTGTAAATCTGATGAATGCTTTGTCATACATGACTAAAATCATGGCCCCAAAAGGGACATACAGTCCGTTGGCAAGCAACATGGTCCTTCCAGTGCCCATCATGGCCAGTTTGGCTTTATCGAAGGGTATCTCAGCCAAACCAGCAACTAATCCAGACAACAACGCCCATTTACACTGACTTGTTGTGCTAGACAGATCAGTGATGAACAGTTATCTTTTGATGAGACAAAAAAAAACAAGTCAATTTTGTATACTTAGTTCATTAAAAAAAGAAAACATCAAAAAACCTAAGTTTTAATCGGATCTGGAAACTGTCTCAAAATCTTAATGTTTTTTTTAAGTTTTGGAAGGAATCAGAAACCAACCAAAGCGTCTCAAAATAAGTCAGTTTTTAAACAAACTAGTATTATAAAGCAGAATACAAGTACACATAACTGCATTCAACTTTAAATTTCTCTGAGAACCTAAACTTTGAAAAGTATCTTAGAAAAAATTTGAAGGTTTGAAATAAAAAATATTTCGAGAGGATGATTATTATCGTCAACTCGACAACTTTTGACCCTTTTTTGGGGGCGATGAAATAATTTACTTTTGGTAAATACTGAAAATTTAATTTCATTTTAGATTTTAGCCTACAATTTTACTCAACTGTTCATCACTATTCTGGGTCTCTAAATGTAAAATAAATTCCGAAAAACACTGAAGCGTAAGGCACGGTTGATAAACTGTTTCGAAATTTATAATCGCCCTGAATAACTCCGCGTCTCACAAAATCAAAGGGGAACACCGAACATGCACCCATAAATCCAGACAGGGCTCCTACTGCAAATGGAAGTCCTTTCTGGTTATCGACTCTGAATTGGATTAAGTTGTGGTATCGGTTCAATTCGTATAATGAGCAATTGATGATTCCATGATAGGCGAAAGCAGCAATATAGTCGGCGCAGAACATTGTGTGCGTTTTTCGTATTTGATGACAATCAATTGACCATCTGAAAAAAGCAAAAAAATAATTCTGCCATGAAAATTCTTTTATTAAGGCAAGCCTCTACGCCTACCTAAAACTTTTACACAAAGGTGAAGCTGCGCTCCGCAAATTATAGCGAGAAAACGATAAAAGCAGCTCTATTAAGTGCAAAAAGAAAAATTAGAAATAAGCCTCGAATAAGTTAAGGAAAAATTAGGCTACGACTGAGATTCGAACCTGCGCCCTAGACATTAAGAGTCTTAAACACTAACCACTAAGCCACGAACGCTACATAGACTTCAAACACTAGCCACAAAAGAAGCAGAGAACAGATGCTATGTTATTTCCAATGCAACAGTGAAATTTCCAAATAAGTGAACACTTTTAATGAACACTTTTATTTGCAAGTTAGGTTAGAAAAACAGAAGGTTCGTAATAATACACTAAGCTGATCGCTAGTGTAAATAAGCAATATAAAATCAACTTCTTTATCGTTTAAATCGAAGCCGTAACCTTATGCGCAAAATTATCGGAAGGAACAAATTACCAAATATATCATTTCTAGAATCACGACTGAAAGGGCTTTAACATGATATACTAGGACTCATTCCAATGATTATTTGTGGTAGCTAACTTTGCGTGGAAAAAAAGTTCAAAATAAAACAAACACTCCCGAAGGCCGAGTTCCTTCTTAACTGGAACTATTTGTCAATAAGCTGCCTGTTCGTTGAAGGGGTAATCTCAGGTTAGGTTAGTTGAATCTACGGCTTGTTGACCTACCACTCGTTTGTATACATTAGCACGGATATTAGCTGGGGGGAGATCCATTAGCATACCATTCGCGTAGCATACTCGAAATTGTTTACAAAAAAAGCGTCGCTTAGCATACTTTACCTTATATCAAAATCGGGGTATTAAGCAAGCTTTCTTGCAGCAAGAGAAACTTAAATTAGCATCTAGAAAAAAAATATTTTTAACGTTTTATATATGCTTAATTGATTTTTCTCTTTCTGAAAGAAGGAGGTCGCTAAAAGACCCCATTTTGATATAAAACAGACTCATGTATCGTCCCTGGTCGAATCATGTATCGACCCTGCTCGACTATGAATCGAGTTTGGTCGACCTAAAGTTTCTGTTGACCTATAGAACTTGGGTCGATAACAAGACATCGTTCGACCCATGCTGCCGATACTTAAATCAACCACCTCAACCCTGGAAATCGAGTCTCAGATGCATCTCAGACAACATTATACGGAATTACAATTTTAGCTATGCATTTTATTCAACCAAAAAAATTGACATGGAACAGTTAAATCAAGCCTTCATTACAAATATCTAAAACATCATAAAATGTCGGGTCGAATAGTATTTTGGGTTACTAAACACAATCAAAAAATATTAAAGTAAATACACTATGCTAGAGTGACAAATTGTTGAAAAAAAAATAGATTAAACTAACTGATCGAATCTTCATGAAAAAAAATTGGAGCACACTAAGCGAGTGGTATGCTAAATTTCACGGCCTCTATTAGTTAAATATAATTTATTCTAAGACTAAATAATAAACACTATTCTAGACGCTTATGGCATAACTGCATTACCAGCCTGAGATTGTAACACCATGCCACAAACTTTGCAAATCGTTTAATATGAAAGCAACTATTTGCATTCATATTACTTTACTTAGCGTTTCCATGCGACAAAGAAATTAAACTTCTCCAAATTTGGTTTACTTCTGAACTTCATATCGCTTATTTTTTGGCTTCGAGAGTTCCGATTTGAAGGTCATTTGATTAAAAAAAATTGCGATGAACTTGAAGCTCGCTGTTGTTTCGATTTCTGTAGCGTTGGCTGCCATTTTGGTTTACCTAATTTCGGCAAACAAATGGACGGATGATCAATTGGAGTTTCCTCTTTGTTACACACATGGCATCCTTCCTCTGAGGAGACTGCTGCCAAAGTTGGTAAGTCTTATTTTAGGTCGCCATTTAAGGTGCGCATCAACGCCAAGTACTTCAGAATGAAAAAACTCAGAACAAAAAGTAAAGAGGAGTTCATGGTATGGAATTTTTCAGAAAGAGGCAATTTTTACAAAAGCCTCAGGCCTGGGCTTTTTGCGACAAAACGGTGCTCTTCAATTTCCCCTAGGGTAGGTAGGACGAATATCCGCCCGATTAAAAACTAATTGATCGACTAAGCTTATGCAAACAGTTCTTCCTAACTAATATCCCTTTTGAATTAACGAAGAATGGTATTAAAACGTCAATACTTGTTAGAAGAAAATTCTGCTGAGTTACATAGTCACACGGACGCTTAACGATCAATACTGCTCTTTTAGCAGCTCCCATAAAAAATCATATTAATTTAGCAGTTACGTCGAGTATTTCGACGATTTAGAGAAACTTGCTCTTTACTTGATAGCATCTTTAAAGAAAAACTTACATGTATTTTGATAAAAACTGCTTTTGTCAACATCACTGGACAAAAATCTATCGAAAAGGATGCCATTGGATTAAATCGAGTTGTCTAACTTATTTAACAAAACAATCAACATTTTTCCAGCTGCTTTTTGTTCCAGGTTTTGAAGAAAACGGAATATTTATGCTTGATGTGGTTTTTTATCCTGTCAATTTTCGGCGATAGAAATAGTTTTTAACAAAAATTTTTATACCCCATTGAAGATATCGACTCCCTAAAACTAAATGTAGAAAGATATTGTAACTCCGATCACTTTTTGCAAACTTCTGGCAGTTGGAAAATTGCCGGCTTGACCATCCTCTGGACAAATTGATGCGCGCTTTGAAGATCTTATTTATAATGCGGAAAACGAAACGCGAATTATTTATGCAAGATGAATTATCCCGTATAAAAAATCGTTCCAAATTTAATTGAAGCTAACTAATCGGTCGTATTAATTTTGTACGACTCAAATTTTCACACTTGATCTTTGATATTGTCCATAATTTATAGTTTTTCAATGTTTTTCCCCAAAAACTATTCGATGTGATTTAAGGAAGAGTCGGAACTTTCAGGGCTTCGCCCTGATATACGAACAGTCTTGTTTTAGAATTTTAGGTAGGTTTAAAAGCCGTTGCGAACAAGAGCGTGAAACTCTTTGTGAGCAAAAGTATCAAAACTTAATAATTATATTTCTGATGACGCACTGAGCTGGTCAAGCATTTCTTTAAGAAGATAGAGACATTAATTCTTTAACGGAACAATGTTGAAAACTGTAGCAATCGAATTATAATTGAACAATTCTATCGATTGGTCGAACCTTCTAATCGTTCCAATCGTTTCAAAAATCCAATTTCGTAACAGGTGAATTCTATTCAATATACTTCTAGATGTAAAATTATACGCAATCAGATCATAGGTAATCAAAAATTTTGCCCGGAAATCTACGGGAAAATAGCTATTGAGCTCTGAATTTAACTCAAGAAAAACGTGCCTGTTATGCGTTAACATCAACCACGTGTTCTTGAAATTGCAAATTTTTGTCAAGATAAATATTCTTAATATTCATTTGAAGTAATCACCTCTAGACAAGTGCTTTGCAAGTAAAATCTGATTGGTTGATTTAGAAGGAAAAAATCTGAACTGTGCATGTTGAAACATTGAGCGTGAGACCGTTTTTTCTGCACCAAACATCAACTTCTTTAGCTTTTTAGAAAATATATAGGCTACATTTTCAGGGCTACGTGTGCAGAAAAAAATTAAACAAGTGATACGATGAAAAAAAACGGCATCTATTCAATATACGAAATTAATTGCTAATAACGAACAATAACTTTTTTTTTAATTTTTGAAAATCAATTTTCGAATTTCAAAGAAGGACATTTGCTGAACAACAACAAATGCTGAAAGCATAAAGAATCGTTGTTTTGAATGCAAACGCACAAGCAGGTTAAAAAAATTTAGTTCTACATGCAAATAATTTACCCTGTCAGAGATTTATGCACGCAGGAGATTCTTTGAAACAAAAATTGGTTGAGTATTTTTCTCCTCAAGCAGTTCTGCTTTTTTTTATTTTTTTTTGCATTTTGGCAAATAGACAAAGTAGAACCAAAAATTAAAACGCTGAGTGACATTTTTTGAGAAATAGAGCCGTTGAAGCCGGTTTTACATAATTGGAAAAAAATATCAATAGTTAGCTCATTTCAGATTCCCAAGAAGTCGCTCGAAAACGGAACCTATTTACGCCACAGCGCACAACAAATGCGACAGATGCGCAGCTGGTGTCTAAAAAATGAGCCAGATGCACCATTGGAGAGTGTGTACAAGGATGGCAGAAGGGAGATATTGAGATACGCAGGAGAACGAGTTACGAGTCCGAAGACCACACTGGTTCACATACATGGGGGAGGATATGTATTCGGATCTCCAGGTAGAAACAATCTCAGCTATTCTAAGCTTTGAAGAGCTAAAAAACTATTGCGTTATCTTTAAGAGACACTCTATAATAGACCCCGCAATGTTGTATACTGGAAGCACATATCTGCGGATGGACAACAACTCAGGCCCGAAAGAGATTCATGTCTTGGCGAGAAAATTCTGGCATTGTTTAGCAGCTGATATTTTCATAGTTTTTAAATCCTTACTGTGAAACTTCAACTTATTGCTTGCAATCTAGCACACTTTGAAAGCAGGGAAAATTGGACCACTGGTGCTGGATGCGCAACATCAGGTCACTTTGAGAGCCCTTAGCTCTTTTTATCCCTGAGAATGCGCAATCTAAGCTCATTTTCGAAGCGAAGAAAATCAACGCTAAAGACCAACCAGACAAAATGATGGGGCGGGGCAATCTAAGAGCATTTTAAGGGCTAGTGAAGAAATTCACTTTGAGTCCACGAAAGAAAGAAGGAAAAACAAACGATGAAATATATAACACTGCTTACTTTCGAAAAGAGTCGAGTACCCGATTATACAACTTTCTCCGGCAAATGTAACGAGCTCAAATAGTCCAGCGTTTCCTTCAGAAGCTGTGGAACAGTAACAACGTTTCTTAGAGGCACAAGTACTATAATAACTCATTTGAATGATAAAACGCGAGCAATTTGTTCCAGAGGAAGCTGCTGGTTCAGTGCTGAGAATGCAGAATGAGACTGGAGGTCAGATGTTCTTTATCCGATACAGTCTGGCACCTGAACACCTGTTCCCCACAGCTGTGGATGATTGTGTGGCCATGGTCAAGTACATCATGGACCATAGTGAACAACTGGGAGTGGATAGACGCAATGTGCAGATATTTGGAGACAGTGCAGGGGGGAATCTGGTGACTCAAGTCGCCTTACAAATGTTAGAGCAGGTTTGACCAGAAATAACTACACATGATCTTTGAACTGTACAACATCGCCAGTTGGAGAAGTGTTGATGAACTCAGGAAAACAGAAAAAAATACCGGCTATCTTTTGAATGGCTTTTTTTTCTTTTAAAATATGGACTAGCAATACGGTGCAGCTCAAGCTGCTCTCAATCTAAAAAAATTATCATAAAACATCCTTTCACTATAAAAAAAAACAACTTCGTTATCGTTCTCCTTTCACTATAAAGAAAAAACTTCGTTATCGTTAATTTTCTCAAATTAAAATATCTCTATAAACTATATTTTTAGTTATCAGTTCTCCGTCATCACTTCGAAAAAAGAACTTGATGTTCATGGGGTCGCGGATTTTCGACGCAACAACGTAGAGCTGACCGTGGGAGAATACCATGTCCCAAAGCCATTTTAAAACTCTGTCCATACTCTGCCCTTGACTCTTCTTGATAGTGAGCGCAAAAGCTGGCTTAACTGGAAATTGTCTTCGGCGCCATTTTAAAGGAGCATTCTCGCTTACTTCAACAATTAGATTTATTCGACGGATATAACGAAGCTCCGTGCTATTTAATTTCCGCTGTTTATTTCACGCATCTGTTTCCAACCATTTCGACAACAAACAAACGAACTCTATTGCACAAACCATTCTAGGGGTCAAAGTTTCTAATTAGGATGATGGGCATGCCAATTTTAAGAGTCAGATGATGTTCCGATAGCCCAGAAATTTCCAGTGAATTTAGAAACTCAGATGGGTATCTGCACTGATCATAGGGCGTGCGACACTGTCTGCGCTATAGCAGTTAACTGCTCGCCTAAAACACAACTTTCACTCAATTGAAGAAAAAGATTGAACAACCGATTTTCTGGCTGAGTTAACTGAAAAATTATTGCAGCAAAACTTGTTGATTTTGGTTGCTGAAGTACTACGTAATGTCAGAATAGCTCTTGATATCTCGGTTCCTCGGCTTACCTGCATTGAAAAACGAAAATTTTTTCGCTCTAGCATCCGTTGAAAAAAGCAAAAAATAGCCTCAAAATTTTTAAAAACCCAATTAGCAGCTTTTTTGTGAGAAGAACTCGATATGATTTCAGTTTTGTTTTCGGGAGGATTCACGAAATTAACTGACAACCGATTGGTTCCGTCTCCAACTGTAAGAAGCAACTTATCACACTCAACAGCCGCAGATGGCTCTTCAGATGGGCCACAATTATGACTTTTTGATGCAGTATGAAACAGCATCTCGGGGGTTTCTCGACTTCACGGTAAGAAGAATTTGTCTAAAGAACAAAAGATAATCATAATTACCTTATTTCAGTTGGAATAATCGAAATTAACTGAGCGGAAATCTCCTACTAAAACTATTGATTTGCCTCCGAAAAGTATATCAGCGTCGAGCAGATCTCTCAAACAACGATCTAGTGCTTCCAGAGAAAAGCGGTTGATCATGGGGCCTTCTTCCCAAACAATTACTTTAATGACTTGAATGAGTCTCGCTAACGCTGATTGGTACGGTATGTTGAGGGAGGATGTCTCGTGAATCTGAAGTGGAATGTTGAAGAGAGAATGTTCGGTTCTGCCTCCGTTTAATTCAATTGCCGAAATTCCGCTAGATGCAACAGCCAATGCAACAGTGACAATATTTTCTTCCAGTGATCGGGTTCCCGCAGGCAAAAAATTAAGCGCATGTGTATTCCCAATTCAGCCTCTTCCACATAAAACCCACAGCACTGCTTTTGCCTTTTTAAACAATTGATTACGTGACCGCCAAATTCACGGTGTTTACTGTTAAGAGAAGCTCTATTATCACCGAAGTCATTTAGAATGTTAGACCTTAATTCTGCGAGGTCATACTGTGATTCTTCATTGATTTTGAAATTGTCAATAAATGCCCTATCTTCATTGGAAATTTCAAGCAAAGCATAAAATTTCAAAGAGCGTGAATGAGATAGGAGGAAGGCTTCAATCTCTAAAAGTATCATGGCTTTTTTGAAAATAAACATTACAATCAGGGTGAGAACGCAAAAAATCGACAGACCAATGAGTGTGGTGCTTTTCAAATAACTCCATCGCGTTTGTTAGCTCGCAAAAAACCTAAAGGATTCCGAAGAGTTTTCGTATATTATGCGAACTCAATGTGTCGGCAGGGTCGGACAAAAAGGCATCCCATTCTCCGTCGGATTCAACTAAACCAAGCGCTGCACAGACTTCTTTTTAAGTATTCAGTTCGTTGCCAATCATTAGCTTCAGGTTTTGGAACGGAACTGATCCTGTAAGCAACTTGAGTTGAAATCAAATTTTAAAACCGTTCAAATATATTCAAGCAACAAACCAGCACAATGTTCATGATGAAGCAGCACACGAACGTAAAATCTCTCTTCCTGCACACAGATGCACTGTAAATGCCCGTCCGATTGTGTTGGATACAAAATTTCCTCCGGCGCCAAGTTTTAGATTTATTCCCGACAAAATGCGTCGGTAAGTTGCATTATATCAAATCGTTCGACGAATTCCTTTTTATTGAAATTGAACAACTCAGTAAGTTCAGTTATTCTGTTTTTATTTTTATTTTACACGGCTTCTTTAACGCGATTTTCAGCGAACAAAATCAGTTGTTCTCTGAGAAATTGAACAGGGAGCGACTGTGCAGAAAGGAATCTCTCTGACTGAGGAAAGCTCAATATCCGTCCACATGCTTCCTGTGAGCCAAAATAACGCATATTTTGATATGCGGCAATTTCATCAACAACCTCGTTATCTATGCGAACCATTTTTCGATCAACTCACTGAAAAATACTTCGTTAAAGACAGAAACAGTTTAAAGCTATCTCACAACGCTATCAAAAAGTCAATTGAATTCAGCGTCAGCTCAATCTGATGCTCTGTAAAAGATACATAGTAACAATTTATTTTCTTTTGTAACGTTCTTTCGTAATGTGTTTCTTTCGTAATAACCTATTTCTTTGTATTTTATAATTTTGACATTTCAGTTGTCTTTTACCTTATTAATGTACATGAAGATGTATTTTGGCGAATTCTGTGAAATGCAAGCCTCAACATCGATGTGAGCATCAAACTTCAGAACCCACTGATAATCCACTTGAAAATCTCCAACAATTCCAGTCTCTCCCCCGTTTGACGATGATCGCCGTTTATAGTTCGGATAGTTCGCAGTATCAAATAACACAGTTTTGCGGGAGAAAACTTTTCTTTTGGGATATAATTACTACATTTACCATCAACCATGCACGTAGATCCATAATTGATATTTCCACATAGACCATTAATCATACAGTAGCACCAAGCTTATCAAACAGTAGCACGAAACTTATCAGCCTGAACTTTCTATTCGGGATCACAACACATAGTAGGAATTGGAGGAAATTCAGCTGAAATTATTTTGTCGATATTAGACAAATCTTTCAAACGATCACGCTCGGATAACATCATTAGGATATGTGCATGGGGTAAACCTCTTTTCTGGTATTCTATGACATACCCACAACCCTTCCAAACACTTCTGTAAACATAATGTAGCAAATTGAAAAACATAAACATTATTTACGCAAAACAAACGAACCATGAAACTTCTGTGCAGCAGCTCAATCATCAGGCATTTCAACTTCAGACGAAAAACACGCACAACAACACCAGACCTTGAGGCTGCTGTCTGATAACCAGTCAAGCAGCACTGGATTTCCTCCCACAAAAGATTGCACGTAAAGGTTATGAAAAGATCAGGCTTATGATAATGACGATATACTGCCATTGCATCTTGATATCTGAAATAAAAAAAAACTTATAAAAACAGTGGCAGAAAACATTGGTGTCAGGTGCTTGAGGATAAATACTCCAAAAAATTACCTGGCATGCCAATGTAGATAACTTCCAGTTATATATTTAGGACATATGATACACTGACCGAGTTTACCAACGCTAGTATCAGCCTCAATAACAGCGTCCTCCAAATTTGCATTAACATCAGATCGAAGTGAGTCTTCATTGAATCGAGCATATTTGAGGTTTTGATTTCCAATCGATGCAAAAGCAATGCAGAGATAATCTTGAAACAACCTGTCTGCTTTGAAAAGATGAGCTCTATACCTGTTGCATTTTTCATTTAATAGGAAGCTATGATACCTTTGAAGACTCATCGTTCGGTCGGAGTTTCTGAAAAAAGGTGAAGGATATACATCAAAGTTAATTAACCCATTGGCTTAACATGACCCGACTCAGTTTACCGCAATTTTCTGCTGATACTCCAACCGTCAGAGCCCATTGGAAAGAGAAGAACAAATTGAAGTGGATCACACAATCGGTGCGTATCACCAACTTCTGAAAGTCAACCACCTCTTTTGCGCACCCCAATATCATTTGAAGGGGCTGTTTGGTCACTTAATACAGCCAATTCATTCAAGTTGACAATATGAACACGCCTATGCTCGTTGATTGGCTTGGCTTTTGGATTGATTACAACTTTTGCGCTTAGAAGATCGCTTTCGTTCAAATCGCAGATTTGGATAAAAAAAATCATAAACAAAAGGGTTGCATTGTTTCAGAGATACCTTAAACACGTACAAATAATTACCAATTACTTAAATTTCACAAAAGCTGCGCTTTTTATATACTCATTTGCAAATCATGCAGAAGGCTTTGAAGCTGAACATGCTCAAAAGAAGACACAGAGCTAGGTACTTGTAGAAACTCAAGACGTAATTTGGTGCTTTCGTAGCTATTCTGGGGATCGTGAACTAAGAAGTTCAAAAGCAAGGCTTGCTCCTTTCTAATGGTTTCATCGGGCCGAGTGAAAAATATGCTTTGCCCTAAATAAACAAAACAAAATAGTATTTTTAATATTGAATTATTTTGAAAGATTGAAAACTCTTACATGAATTATAACAGTTGGAGAGTAGCCATCGCATTTATTCTCAGATTTTTCGCCAATTTTCAACGAAGCCAAACATAATGCATTATTCAGTTGACGCAAACATTC